GTTTGTATCCTTGTTATGCATTCATTTATTGTCGATATTCCCTCAGAGAAGTCAGTAGCCAAATGACTGTACTGTACTTTTGTTTTGTATGGCGCATTTTGATTGATTTTGTCTTACTTTTAGCTAGGTTTTTTTTTGCTGCTATACACAATGTATCTCGATTCAGGCAAAATACATGGTACATGTCGCTGTGTTAACTTCATGTATGGTCTCTCACAAGTAACGGGTACAATATTAATAATACCTATAGTGTGTTTAAAATGCTAGGTACTGTAAAAGGATTAATTATTCACTGGGTTTTAATTTTGCATATTTTCGCTGACTGGAAAATGCGCTAAATTAAAACCAAGTGTAAATATGTAAATTTTAGCATAGAACGCATTATGTAAATGATAAAACCGTGAATTTAAAACCCACTGAGTGTGCCTGAAATGATAAATCAGCAAAATTTAAACCCAGTGAAAATTAGTCATTTTACAGTAGTCACACGGATGTACTTTACCCTATCCACAATTGGCCTCAAGACATTGTGTTATCTCACAATACCTGGTACTTGTGTAATCTAAATCATAAATACCATGCAGTTGATGAGATCACCGGTGACTTCATGTCCTATACATGTTGTATGGACCATTGTGTAATTGTACATCGTGAGTGGACCATTTACATTCATGAGAAGAGGGGTGGACATCATTTGTAGGACCATTTATTATTAACTTTGGACATTTGGTCAGTAAGTAAAAACTTCATTTACTGTCCACAGGGACAGGCAATTTTACATCCACCTGTCCAGCTGAAATATGCCTATGTGAGACAGGTAAACAGGCCTTAATTTTGACACAGTGGCTATTACCTAATTAATTACCTAGGGTATTTCAATGCAATATTTCCCTCTAAAAGATAAACGTTGACACAAAAAAAAGGAAATACAAGTTCAAAATCAAATCATTTGATTTTTACAGCAGACGCTCTGTCCAGGTCTTTCAACATAATATGGAAGATATATACCTATTGTTGAAAGCAGATACATTGTATATCTGAATGTACTGGTAATTCACCTTGTTTTAATATTACCCGTATGAGTGAAATGTTGCTTTCTTTCATGTTTACAACTTTTAAGCAAAAACAAAAGGTTTGACATGAATGTTTACCAGATATAAATCTTCTATTTTTGTTTGCATTAAGATTTTTTTCTTCTTGCCAGATAAAAAATGCCTCCCGGTGCAAGTTATACGTTTGATATATGGACCCAAGAGTCCTTACAGTCCCGTGTTATGGTAGATTGTTTATTACCTACAGGAGTGCTAGTCCAATTAGAATGCGAGAAAGATGCCACGCTGGATCAGATTAAAAAGGTACGGTATCAGTATGATTTCCACTATGTGTGCTGCCTTATATAATCGACACCTTTTAACTGAATGCACCTGTGACCAGTTATTGACCCCTCAGTAAGTGATTAAAGTCTGTGTTTGTTGGCAGCGAGGGCGGCTGGTATAAATATACTATTGATCAGATTATATTGTAAGGTAAACAAGAAATAACATGATTTTAGCTGCTATTGCCTTTTTCCTCATCCCAAACTGAAAGTGCTTGTATAACAGAGCTCGAAAGTAACAACATTTCATGGAAGTCTGGTGGGCTACCATATTTAAGAGTCTATCTGATTTAGTAAGAGCTCAAAGCCATTCCTGAAAGTGTGAAGTCAAATAAATAAATGGCACATCATTGTGTGATTATAACTCTGAACATGTACTACCGGTAGTTGATGTAAAAACAAAGCAATATTTTTGTAACTTTTTACTAGTCCATTTGGGCTCTACTGCAGTTGAAAAATAGTAGCCGTAGGATGAAAATTAGTAGTCTGTCTGAGCATTGGGCTAGTGCTGATTTTTAGCCCTGTGTACAGTCAAGTACGTCAATTATTTTATTTTCAAGTGAGTTTTGAGTTTCCAGGTTGCTTTGAGTTATGTGTGGAGTTGACACCATACCATTTATTGATTAATGTGTTCGACAGTGTTGAATATTTATGTGTCAATAGCAGTTTTATTTACATAAACACATTCAAATACCAATTATGTGATTCAATAAGATGTAGATCTTGATTCCAACTTGTTCTTTTTTTAGCTCCGCTGTCGACTTTGTCGAGCGGAGCTTATCATACATGTATGAGTGATTGTCCGTCGTCGTCCGTGTCAATGTTTTATATTTTTGACTTCTTCTTGAAAACTACAATCCTGAATGCTTTGATACTTGGTGTATATGTGCCTTGGGTAGACCTCTCTCTGATTTGTTCATTGTGTAATGATATCTACAATTTTCTAGTTTTGGTGAATATTTTTGTAATTTTTGGTAAAAAGTGATATTTTCGACTTCTTGTTAAAAACCAAAAGTTCAATTGCTTTGATATTACATATATAGATACTACATGTAGACCTTTCTTAGATTTGTTCATTTCGTGATGATATCTTCAATTCTCTAATTTTGGTGAATATTTTGGTCATTTTTGGTAGAAAGTGATATTTTCGACTTCAT